ACCACAAGGGAAGAGAGCAAGAGAAGAAGAAAGGAATAGAGAACTATAAAAACTGAAAAACAATGAACAAAATGGCAATAAATACATACCTATCAATAATTACTTCAAATGTATATGGACTAAATCCTCTAGTTAAAGGACATAGGGTGACTGAATGGATTATAAAAAAACAACAAGATCCAACTGTATGTTGCCTATAAGAGACTCACTTCAGATCTAAAGACACATACAGGGGTGCCTGGGTGGCTTAGTGGGTTAAAGTCTCTGCCTTCGGCTCCGGTCATGATCCCAGGGTCCTGGGATCGAGCCCCACATCGGGCTCTCTGTTCGGTAGGGAGCCTGCTTCCTTCTCTCTCTCTCTCTCTCTCTGCGTGCCTCTCTGCCTGCTTGTGATCTCTATCTGCCAAATAAATAAAATCTTAAAAAAAAAAAAAGATTTAAAGACACATACAGACTGAAGGTAAAGGGCAATAAAACCATACACCATTCAAATGGAAGTGAAAGAAAAACGTGTCAGGGTGGCAATACTTATATTAGGCAAAAAAGACTTTGTAAAACAAAGACTGTAACCAATGACAAAGAAGGGCACTACATAAAGATAAATGGAAAAATCCAACAAGCGGATATAACAACTGTAAATAGCTATGCACCCAAAATAGGAGAACCCAAACACATACAGCAATTATTAATAAATAAAAAGGGAGAAACTGACTTTAATACTGTAATAGCAGGAGATTTTTACACCTGACGTACATAAATGGATAGATCATCCAGACAGAAAATCAACAAGGAAATGGTGCCTCGAACAACACAATAGACCAGAGAACCTTACAGATATATTCCATCCAGGAACATTCCATCCCAAAATAGCAGAATACACATTATTTTCAAGGACACATAAAACATTCTTCAAGACAGATCATATGTTGGGCCACAAAACAAATCCCAGTAAGTTTAAGAGTGAAATCATAATGAGCATCTTTTTTGACCACAACAGTATAAAACTAGAATTCAGTTATAGTAAAATATGTGGAAAGAACACAAATATATGGAGGCTAAACAACATCCTACGAAATGATGACTGAGTCAACCAACAGTTCAAAATCCTGGGGATGCAACAAAAGCAGTACTAAGTGGCTTATAGCAATGCAGGCCTACCTCAAGAAACAACAAAAATTTCAAAAAACCCAAACTAACCATACACCTAAAACGGAAAAAGTAGAACAAACAAAATCAAGAGCTAGAAGGAAGGAAAGAATAAAAATTAGAGCAGAAATTAAAATAGAGGCTTAAAAAAATTAGAAGAGATCAACAAAAATAAGAGCTAATACTCTGAAAAGATAAAACTGATAAACCTTTAGCCAGATTCATAAAAAAAAAAAAGACTCAGATAAAATCAGAAATGGAGAAAAAAATACTACAGAGAACTACAAAGAATTTTAAGAGATTATTATGAAAAATTATATGCCAAAAAATTGGGCAACTTAGAAGGAGTGGACAAATTCTTAGAGAACATATACTCTTCCATAACTGAATCAGGAAGATATAGAAAATTTGGACAGACACATAACACAGACATAACAGACATAACACAACTGAAGCAGTAATAAAAAAAAGTCAACAATGAACAAAAGTCCAGGACCAGATGTCTCTACAAGTGAATGAACTCTACCAAACATTTCAAGAAGAGTTAATACTTAGTCTTCTTAAATCATTCCAAAAAACAGAAGAGGAACGAAAACTTCCACACTCATTCTACAAGGCCAATGTTACCGTGATACCAAAAGCAGTTGAAGACACTACAAAAAAAGAAAACTACAGGCTAATATCTCTGATGAACAAAGATGCAAAAATCCTCACAAAGTATTAGCAAACCAAATTCAACAATACATTTGAAAAAATTCACCTCAATCAAGTAGGACTTATTCCAGAAATGGCAAGGGTAGTTCAATATTTGCAAGTCAGTACAATACAGCACATTAATAAGCTATAGGATACAAACCATATGATCATCCCAATAAATGCGGAAAAAGCACTTGACAAAATACATCCGTTCATGGTAAAAAGTCTCAACAAAGTGAGTTTAGAGGGAACATACCTCAACATAATAAAGGTCATATATGAAAAACTCACAGCTAACATCATGGTGAAAAACAGAGCTTTTTCTCTAAGATCAGGAACACGAGAATGTCCACTCTCATCTCTTTTATTCAACATAGTCCTGGAAATCCTAGGTGCAGTAATCAGACAAGTAAAAGAAATAAAAAGCATCCAAAATTGTATGGAAGAAGTAAAACTGTCACTATTTGCAGATGATATGACATTATATATGGAAAAACCTAAAGGTTGCACCAAAAACTATCAGAACTAGCATGGAGGACATGGGGAGTTAGGAGAAGGGAGTTGGGGGAAATTGGAAGGGGAGGTGAACAATGAGACACTATGGACTCTAAAAAACTTTGAAGAGGTGGGGGGGTGGGAGGTTGGGGGAACCAGGTGGTGGGTATTACAGAGGGCATGGACTGCATGGAGCACTGGGTGTGGTACAAAAACAATGAATACTGTTATGCTGAAAATAAATTAAAAAAATGATTAAAAAAAAACCTATCAGAACTGATAAATGAATTCAGTAAAGTAGCAGGATACAAAATTAATATATAGAAATCTATTGCATTTCTATATACTAATAGCACAGTAGCAGAAAGAAATCAAGAAACACCAAAGAGAATAACATACCTAGGAATAAGCTTAACAAGGAGGTGAACGCCTGTACTCTGAAAACTATGAAACAGTGATGAAAGAAATTGAAGAGGACACAAATACAAAGAGTCTATGTTCACGGATTGGAAGAACCAACATTGTTAAAATGTCCATACTACCCAAAGCAATCTATAGATTCAATGCAATCCCTATCAAAATACCAGCACTATTTCATAGAACTAGAATAATTAATACTAAAATTTGTATGGACCCACAAAAGACCCCAATAGCCAGGGCAATCTTGAGAAAGAAGGATAAAGCTGGAGGTATCACAATCCCAGATTTCAAGGTATACTACAAAGCTACGACAATCAAATTATGGTACTGGCACAAAAACAGACACGTAGGTTAAGAGAACAGTATAGAGAACCCAGAAATAAATCCACCATTATACATTCAACTAATCTTTGACAAAGGAGGCAAGAACATACAATGGGGAAAAGACAGTCTCTTCAATAAACGGTGCTGGAAAAACCAGACAGCTACATGCTAAAGAATTAAACTCAACAACTCAAATACAAAAACAAACTTAAAATGGATTAAAGACCTAAATGTGAGACCAAAACCAAAAATCTCCTAGAAGATAACATAGGCAAGTAATCTCTCTGACATCGTCATAGCAGTATGTTTCTGGCTATGCCTCCAGAGGCAAAGGGAAACAAAAGTAAAAATAAACTATTGGGACTATACCAAAATAAAAAGCTTTTGCAAGCAAAAGAAACCATCAATGAAACAAAAAGGCAACCTACTGAAATGGGTAGAATCAAAAAGACATGAAATAACAAATATCAGTAAGGATGTGGAAGATAAGGAACCCTTGTGCACTGCTGGTAGAAATGTAAATTGACCAACCACTGTGGAAAGCACTTTGGACGTTTCTCAAAAAATTAAAAATAGAAATACCATATGATTCAGTAATCCCACTACTGGGTATTTACCCACAAAACACACAAAAAAACCTAATTTGAAAAGATATACGCACCCCTATTTATAGCAGCATTATTTACAACAGTCAAGATATGGAAGCAATCCAAGTGTCCATTTATAGATGAATGGATAAAGAAGACGTGGGATGTATCTCTCTCTCTCATACACACACACAGAGGAGTATTACTCAGCCATGAAAAAAGAATGAGCTCTTGACTTCAGCAGTAACATGGATGGACCTAGAGTGTATATGCTAAGTGAAATATATCAGAGAAAGACAAATACCATGATTTCAATTATAAATGGAATCTAAAAAACAAAACAAATGAACAAACAAGACACAAAGAAATGAATAAACCTAAAACCAGACTTAACTAGAGAACAAACTAGTGGTTGACAGAGGGAAAGTGGATGGGAAGATGGGTAAAATAAATAACATTAAGAGGTATAAACTTCTAGTTACAAAATAAGTCATAAAGGTGAAAACTACAATATAGGGAATAAATTGTATATATATTATATGTTATATAATTTATATAATATTGTAATTATACATATAATATATATTATATATTGAATACTGTAGTAATATTGTATGATGGGGGCGCCTGGGTGGCTCAGTGGGTTAAGCCTCTGCCTTCGGCTTGGGTCAGGATCTCAGCGTCCTGGGATCGAGCCCCACATCGGGCTCTCTGCTCAGCAGGGAGCCTGCTTCCCCCTTCTCTCTGCCTGCCTCTCTGCCTACTTGTCATCTCTCTCTCTGTGTCAAATAAAATCTTTAAAAAAAAAAAGAAAAAAAAAAAGAAAAAAAAATTGTATGATGACAGTGACCACACCTAAGGTGTGAGCATTGAGTAATGTATAAAACTGCTGTATCAATATGTTGCACACCTGAAACTAATATAACACTGGATGTTAAATTGTACTTCGATTAAAAAGGTGGAAAAAAATTCACAATAAAAAATGTTTGATGTAACTTGATTTAGAGGTCTATTAAGAAATCACAGAACAAATACTGATTTCTCTTTTTGAGGATTAGGTGACCATATAATTTATCTTCCATACTGGAAAACTTTGAAGAGTCCAAGTGATAATGTTATCACCACCAGGGCAACATGAATAAACTTAGCCAGACATTTGGTCACTATTAAGAGGAGAAAAATTAGGACAAGAACTATTCACATATTGTGATTTTTCTTGCTCTGGAGAGATAAAAAGTATAGTTTGCATATAAATGAAAATCAAATTCTAGAGATAATTTCCTAGGACTCATCACCAGATGAACAAAGATTTACAAATAAACAAAAACTTACCTCTGGTTTAGGGACAAAAGCCTGACCCGGAATTGTCAAGATGTGCTGAACACTACAGAGGTACTGCGCCATAATAGAAAGGCGACTACGCTGTTTGCTTCCTGTATTGGCTGTCAGTCTCTACAGAAGGACAAAAGGAATTTTGGCAATTAATCCAGTCTGATCAGATAGAATGCACCCAATATTCTATTATCTATGGACACTAGGGGGAGTTTTGAGATAAACTTTAAAAGCACAGGCTTTCTGATACATGATACATAAACAGCACGGAGAACATTTTCCTCCAATATCAACTGAAGTATACTTAAGAAGTGTGAATTATATCCTATATAACGCACTCAGAAACCAAATAAGAAAACTTCCCTACCATTGGAGGTTGGGGATTTTAAACCCCTGTTATATTCTGTAGAAGGTCCTATATGAAACAAGTGATCAATATATATTTGATGAGAGAAGAAATTAGCAAGCACAATTAAGAACTAAAGATGTGTATTTCATTTTATGAATTACCAAAAATTTATGAAGGAACCTTTTCAATGGTGCACTTTTCTTTATTTAAATGTAATAAAACTTTGAACATTCAGAACTCTTGGAGAACTGTTTTTGGAAAACTGATTTTTGCAAAAACCAGGAATTCATTCTTTTAAGAACACAAACACTTTAATTTCAAAATCACATATATCTAAATTAACTCCTAAATGCAATGCAATTTTAACCAAAATCTTGAAATGATTTCTTTTAAGACCTTTAAATTCCATAAAATGTTATATGGAAAAGCCAAGGGCCTGGAATAGCCAGGAAGCTCCCGAAGAACGTCAACAGCATGAGGAGGGCTGAGGCAGACTCACCATGGGAGGTATCCAAAGTAAGGCAGTACGGCATTGCTACCGGCACAAACACACCAACGGAACAAAAGCCTTAACAGACCCAAGCACATATGGATATTTGCTGTGTGACAGATGTGATGTAACTACATTAATGGGAAAAGGATGGACCACTCAGTAAGAGATATTGGTATTAAGTAGGTCTATCTATATAGCAGGAAGAACTCCCTATCTCATACATAACCAAAAATAAATTCCAAGTGAATTAACAACAAGTAAAAAGCAAAACTTTTAAGATTTTTTTATAAAGTATTTATGACCCCACAGTAGGGCAAAATTTCTGAAAAGATGCAAAAGTGGAAGCCATAAGAGACTGATATTTTTGCTTTATTAAAATTTAAAATGTCTATATTAATAAAAAAAAAAGTACAAACGTATGTCACAGACTGAGAGAAGGTATTTGAAACTCCTATCTGACAAAGGATTAGTGTTCAGAACATGGAAGAAACCCCTACACGTTAATTGCCAAAAAATAAACAATAGAAAATCTGATAGGAAACAGGATAAAAGCACCCAAATGAGCCATAACCATAAACTATCCTCAACCACGTTACACATTAGGGACATGCAGATTTAAACTCTAATGAGATAATCTCCTATCCGTGAAATGAACAAAATTTAAACAATAAAAAAGAACCTGGCAGAACCTAGAACTGGTGAATAATACGGAGCCAGAGGAACTCCCATTTACCGCTAGTGAGAAGGGCAACTGGTACAAGCACTTTGGACTACAATTTGGCAAGACATACAGGAAAGTTGAAGTTGAGTGCACCGTCATAACTTTAAATCTACCTTTAGGAATATATTCTAGGGAACAGTTTATATACCTACACGAGAAAATACTGTGTAAGAACGATCACCATAACATTGTGCATGCATAGTTTCCCAAAAGGTAGAAAATATAAAGGCCATCAACAGGAATAAATAAATGGTGTTATTAACATAGACACCCAAATAGAAAATGATGAAGTGGCAGAAAATATGTAGACCATGATTTCATTTATATAAAAACTTCAAAACATTATTTCTTATGGCTTCCTCTGTGTGTGTGCATTTATCTATCAATGCATGGGAATGATGAGTATCAGTTTTAAGAGTATACTCATAGGAGAGAAAGAAAGGGGATGGAAGGGGGGTACCACACGTATCTACTACATTTTATTTCTTAAAAAAGACAAAAATATGGCAGTATGTTAAAATTGGATTAAAAAATCAGATGCACTGATTTCTTAAAAAAATGTATCCTGCTTCTCTTGTGTTCTTAGAATTCACTGGGTATTCTAAACCTCTTATAAATGATACAGGGTCAACATTACAAACATTATACACCACATAATTTGGCTTGTAAGAGCTTTGCCTTAAGTAAGATTAAAAAGATGGGTTTTAAACTGGGATGCTCAGAATATTTCCTATGGGCAAAGCTGTAGATTTTGTAACATTTATTTTGCTACTTAGAAGCCATCTCTCCATCTCATCCCTCTTTTCAAATTACCTGGCTCTTGTCTATATTTAGACATCTAAAATTATTGGGAGGCTGAGTTCAGGACAAGTGATTGCTTTAGTATAAATGACAGAGTAAATTCTTCTTTACTAAACTGTAAAACCAAGAAACATATATATTCCCAAACAAAAATCAAAACAAAGACAAACACTGGAAACATGTTTAAAGAATAAACTTTATGGATCAAATGCTAAAAAATATTTCTAGCTCTACATAAATTTTTTTGGAGCTTAACTGTACCACTGGCATGAAAGTAAATAATTCAAAATGCATTGTACAACTGGCATACTTCAAAGCAGCTGTGTACAACTAAAACCCGTATGAACATAATCACAAAATTAAAATAAAAACCAAAAAAAGTCTGCACTTGAAAATTATTATTTCATGCTGAATTCTCTTTCAATATTCTACTTTACATCTCAAAGGTGTTTTCACTAATGAATTCAGTGAAATTTTAAAAACCACTTTAACCCAAAAGCAAACAAGGGAGGCAAAGCAGGGTAAACACTCTGGACACAATTTCACTTTGAACGCTGGCATCCGTTCCTGCCAGGGAAGCCTGACCCATCCAAACTCTGCAGGAAATGCACCCAGGCTGTGGAGATGAAAATGTGTGAATCATAACTGAATTTAGGTGAAAGCAGCACACACATACTCGTCCTGAACTCATTGTAGAATAATTCAAGCCACAGAGCAGAAAGCTCTGCAGAAGACTTCATTAAAAACTAACACAAGAGTTAAACGGTCAACCAGCCATTCAAGCATGAGTTAATATTTGTGATAGTTAGGGTGTATGTAAAGCTACGAAAATTCAAACTCCATGACAAGATAGAGGATTTTAACAAACAACAAAAGGCCAGGAAACCAAACCAGTTAATTTTTCAGTAAAAGGAAACTTCTAACCCTTGAGATTTTAAAAGCATTCTGACTGAGTATAAGAGAAACAAAGGTTCAAAGACTCCACAAGGACAGTGTTATTTTCATCCTTATTCTTCTAAAATAATTTTAACTACAAGTAGAAAAATTGGGCTTATTCTTGAGAAGCCACACAAGCAATCAGGGACAATGAAAACTATATAAATTACTGGCAAGGTGACGCCCCCCCTCCCTGTTACAGATGTGACCATTAAATAGCCAAGGTCCGCTGAAGATGGGAGGACATGAACAGGCTAATCCTGGACCCAGAAAGAAAATACCAAAGGTCCAGTCACCTAAAGAACTTGAACATCATGACTTCAGCAGAAAACCTATGACCTGTTCTCAACTTCAGCTTTCCCTGTAACTAGCTCCATGACCTTCTGGAAAACATTAAACTACTCTGAGCCTCAGTTTCATCATCTATAAAATGAGGTTAGATGAGATTTGTTAAGGTCTCATTTCTTGCTACACACCGTGATTCTATTTTATGAGCTGTAACTTTATACCGTCTATGTGTTCTTTAGTGTGTGTGAGCTGGATTCTCCTATTTAGACCCTGCAGACCTAGAGAGAACGGAAGAAGATTGTGTTCATGTACTTCTGTTCTGTAACTCACAAAGCCGAGCAAAGTGAATGTTTAAGAACACTATCTGTGGGATGTAAAATTACAAACACGTTAAGTGTCAAGAGTAAGCAAAGGTTATATAAGAAAACGCTAGTATATATTATCCTGCTGAAACTTTCACTTGCAAAATATGAAAACTGGCCGGAGGACCAGTGTTCGCTTCTAAAGCATTCCGTAAATTATGCACGCAATATAAAGTCTTCTCAATATTCATACCAGAATTTAACTGAAATCAACATTTTTATTTTGCAAGTGAAAGAAAACTAACGGCATATGGTGGAGTTAGAGCAACACTATATGAACCACCACAGCTGACACTGAGTCACTGAAAATATCATTCCACGTCTTCAGCCTGTTCCTCTGCATCTTCCCCCAAAAGAATCAGACCACGTAGTGTGCTGCATCTCTATGGCGTTACTCAAGAGTAGAAATACCATAATAATTATGGAATCTGAGAAAATAAAAGTCCAAGGACAAATCAAAAGGCTGAGAAAATAACAAAGAAAAGTAACATGGGCTCAACTCAAACATACCGCTAACAGATTCACGAGCGGAAAATGACTCCGACCCTGGGAAAGTGGTGGTGATACAGCATCGTAACACACATAAGAGGGTCCTACATTTTTATGATGGAAACTATTTTTTTTAATTTCTAAAAATAATTTTTATTTACTTGACAGAGAGAGACACAGCGAGAGAGGGAACACAAGCAGAGGAGTGGGAGAGGGAGAAGCAGGCTTCCTGCCAAGCAGGGAGCCTGCTGCGGGGCTCCATCCCAGGACCCTGGGATCATGACCTGAGCCGAAGGCAGATGCTAACAACTGAGCCACCCAGGCGCCCCACGTGATGGAAAATTTTAAGACTACTAAGAAAAAGATTTTATGGCTAAATACTCTAAAGCAAAGTTTCTTATCCTTGGCATTACTGACATTTTGGGCTGGTAAATGTGGAGTATTTTTCTGCTGTGGGGGGCCATCTTGTGTACTGAAGGATGTTTACCAGCATCCCTAACCTTAATCCACTAGACACCAAAAGCACCCCTCAGTTGTGACAACCAAAAATATTTCCAGACAGGCAGGAGGTAAGAGTATGGCTAAGGAGGAGGACCCTGAGCAGACCTCCTCCCACGCACACACAACAGCTGCAGCTACATATGGAGGAACTCTCCCGAAGAATGACCTGAAGACTTTCAT